TTCTCACATTCGTGACATGAACAAATTGAGTCAAAGAGATATTAACGTCTACTAAAGGAAAGCATAGTGAATGTTACTCTCTTTGAACAACTTTTACCTTAAGTTTTTACTCCTTATCAGCAATAGCTTGACTAGGAAACCTTTTTTTGTCTCTTTATTGTACTTTCCTGCCATTGAGCGCTCTAGACACAACTAATAGGAATGAAATCACAAGAGGGGGAAAAAAAGCTAAATAAATGTACTGTCATAAGGATAAAAGCAGTGGTGTTGTTAATATAACATTATAATATGTATTAATATTTTAAATGAGCTTTTTTAATTTTAACATATTTTTTAATTTCATTTGACCGAGGTTTCTACTTTTCGTTGACGCTTTTTTTTAAGTCTTAAGTTTTTTATTTAACTTTATTTAAATTAATCAAAACAATTTGAACAGTTTTAGTTAACAATAACAACAATAACAAGGAAAAACTACTAAATACTTTTGCCGCCAGTAAAACAATAGAATGGGGTGGTAAAAAATGAATTTTATAAACGTGAGAGACAATAGCGACAAATATCAGAACAGATTTTGTTGTGTTTTGTGAAAGACAGAACCATTAATGAGAATTTTCCTCAAGACTTTGAGCTAAAGAAAGCTAAAGAGGATGGCCAGGCGGCAATCACAGTTTCCAAATGAAAGGCGCTTCCCACTTTGACCTATTTTTTTTTTTTTTTGGCTGTGAAGAATGAGCAATGTAGAATGAGAAGCTAATGAATAATAAATGGCGGATAGAGAGATGGATGAGGTTACGATTACGCAGCCAACTGTCTCCTCATCTCCCCTCTTTCTCTCTCCATCTCGGCATCTTTTTTTAAAATTCTGTATTTCTTTTTTAAAAAGACAGAGTTTATAAATAACTAAAAAGTCACCATTTTTAAAATGCTGCGCTGACGTCCTGAAGCACAGAAAACTGCTGTCGTCAGAGACGTGTCAGAAGAGTGAGTGTGTGTGTGTGAGAGAGAAAGACATTTAAATAAGGAGAAACGGGGACAGAATTTGCTAGTTCTTTAAGATTTACTAAGATGTTTGCAGGTCACATTACTTGATTTATTCCATTTATTTACCTAGTGGCTGTCTTTATGACCTCATTAGTCCGCTGAACCAATCAGAAAGAGAGTTTGATAAAAGATAATGATTCATAATTGAGGCTTGACTAATTCTATAGCTTGGGGACACTTTTCCTCACATTATCTAATTTGCTTGGACACAGTTTGAATAGGCTTGTAAATGGAGACATTTAATGATCTTTTTCTGACCAAAAGTAACAATGAAGTTTTAGAAAGCATCTGCCGAGTAGAACCTCGCAAAATATTCCTGTCTTTTGATTTTGGGTTGAAATAAGAAAAAAGAAAAAAATATATAGGGTCTATAATCTTTATTAATTTGATTTAAACTTTTTTTTTTTGTTAGTATTAAAAGTGACAGTAAATACATATCATTAAAGACAAATATTTCCATTTAAGATAAATTCTGTTTTTTAAAACTTTCTGTTTATCAAAGAATACTCAAAGAAATCACGCTTTCCACAAAGATATTAAGCAGCACAACTGTTTGCAACATTGATAATAATAAGAAATGTTTCACAATATTATTGTTCTTACTGTATTTTTGATCAAATAATTGCAACCTTGGTGAGCAAATGAGACATCTTTAAAAAAATCAAAAGACTTAATGGCCTCAAACGTCTGAATAATAGCGTGTATCTATAATCCTATTTTTATTTTTAAGATTTCTTATGAATGCATTGCATTGAATGCATTCATAAAAACATTCTCTTCACCATAATGCAAAAAAACCTCATTCTCATTACTGTTTTTAAATTTGTACATTGTCATAATATTTGTTGTACTGTCTTTGCTAATGTAAAATAATTATATTGTAATAAACTTTGATACAGTAAAAAAATCATCAATGTAATGCAATACATTTTATTTACATTAAAAAATACTTAAATACTTAAATTATACATTATTGTAATATTTGGTGTACCTTTAATTTATGCTGTTTTAAATAAAATAATTGTTTTATAGTGTGTTTTACTGTAATATAGTTGCAAAAATTACAACGAGAATAACGACAATTTCTTTAATATCTAAAAACACGTAAAACTAAAGCATCTGGGCACATTACAATAATGAGAATAAAAAAATGTAAACCTAACTGTCATGAAAATAATGTAAATGTAATGTAATAAATCTTAATGATCCTAATAATTGGCTTAACTCATTATGCAAAACATATTTGGTTTCTCTCTTTGATTACGAGATAACCTGTAAATGTTTTTGTGAGATTTGCCAATGCCCTGTAAGGGTCGTTTCGAGATCATGTAAGGGTCGTTTCGAGATCATGTCTCTTTCTCTCGCTCTCTCTCCTTCTTGACTTCCGTCTTAACAATAGATTTAAAGAAATAACCCATAATCCTCTTCTGGTGCTGGGACAAGGCTGAACTCTACACAGTGATTCTGTTACAGTAATCTCAGACAAAATTGGCTTAACTTCCTAGCAGACAGGCAACCGGTCAGACGCACAGTAATGTGGAGACAGAGGCAGCCATGTAAAAATGCCACCGATGCCCAGTAGGGTCAAAGGAAGTACGCTGGCGTAATGTCTTTAGAATATACTTGCACCCATGCTGAAATTCCGGTATTATGTTCACTATATGTGGTTTATTGGTATACTGCAGTGTTATGGCCCGTTCACACCAAGAATGATGACTATAACGATAACTATATTAGCGTCCACACCAACGCACGATATCGGTCTGTATTATAAGCGTGCTGCCGCTTTAAATGCTCAAGCTCTTTAAAGCAGGATGGATTCTGATTGGCTGTCAATGTTTTTATCGTTCATCAGCTGGAATTTTTTTTTTGTCAAAGTGATTCCAACAATATCGTTCCCCTGTGTCTTGATCGTTATAGTTGTGGTGTGGACTCTGTTATTCGTTTACATTTAGCTTGATTTTTAAAACTATCGTTATAGTTATCTTCCTTGGCGTGAACGGGCCTTTATTCTTGTACCCAGCTAGCTTTAAAGGAATAGTTCACGAAAAATAAAAAAGTAGCTTAAATTGTAGTTTGTATTTTCTTGTAGCAAATTAGGTTATGTAGCAACTTTATGTTACTGTTATGGTTAATTTTTTTGTCTTTTTGGAGTTTGACAGACCCAGTCCCCATCCGCTTTCATTATATGGAAAAGAGCAGCCAGAACAGTCATCAAAATATCTTCTTTTATGTTCCACAGAAGAAAGAAAGTCATACAGGTTTAGAACGACATGAGGGTGAGTAAATGATGACAATTTTCATTTTCATGTGAACTATTCCTTTAAGATCAAGATTTTGGACTGGTGCCTGAGGATATTTGCGTACCATCTCAAGTCAGTTATAGGGGTGGATTTTTATGCTTATTTGTAAGCATTCCACCTCCATGATTCAGTGATGTGACAATAGGAGAGATGACATGGGCTTAGTTTCTGCAGGAGAGGACAAGGATGAAAGTGAGAGAAAGAGACAAAACAAGGACATGAGAGAGACTTTGAAGATAAAATGAATTGACCTTGTGCCCCTGCAGACTGTATTTCATATTTTCAGTGCATTTCTTTTTTTTTTTTACTCGCAATCCATCAAGTAGGTTCATTTACATTCGTGACAATCTTTGAGGACGTCCTGACAAAAACGAACAGTGCTTTTTTCAAAACAAGATAACCTTCATATGTGTGAAGTGTCCAGTTAGATAGGCCACGCCCTTAATTTTTGGGCACACCCCTGGCTTGCTGGAGAACAATTCCATATTAAGGTTGCTGTATTGCGATGACACACTCTCACCAGGGAAATCTGAATGCATCCCCTGCTTGTCTGTTTTTGTTCACAGTCGTCTGCACTGAGAATATTGCATCACTTTCACTGTAACTTGAGTAAAATGAACCTACGAAGATGTTTGAGGTGTATTTTACCCCAAAATCAAAAGAAAAAACATAAGAATTATATTTTGAAAGACAACGAATGACCATTACTGTACTTTTTCTAGCAGTGTAACATATTCAAGCAAATATTCCTCCTCTCATTGCCCTTTTTTTTGCAAATTGATTCTCATTTTTTATTTTACTTTATTACTGTAATCAATTCTGTAATACAATGATTTTTCTATTAAGAAATTATATTTTACTGTATGTAAAGACGATGAAGGCTATTTTATGTTATTTTTTGCATTGTTTTCATGACGGTTAAGCACTTTCCCCCCTAAAATCTCAGTTCAGTGATGTCAGTTCTTTTTGTAATTCTTACAGTAATTAAATAATTTTATTTTATTTTTATTTTTTTCAGAAGAAAAAAATACTTATGACATATTACACTGTAGTATTACTAGTAGCGTACAATTTAATTTAGTTTCACTTCACAGTAATGGTGTAAAAAGTGTATGTCTGGGGAGAGTGCATTGATAATCTTAATTGCCATTAATAATCTCACAGTTAAAAATATCTGGTTGCACTTTTATTTTAAGGTGTCATTGTTACAGTGTAATTATATATTTACGTACTGAGTAATATTAATTAACTACATGTACTTACTATAGGGTTAGGGTAGGATTAGGATTTGGTTGAGGGTTAGTTGCATGTAATTATGCATAATTTACTGTTATTACTATGGTAAGTACATGTAAAATATGTAACAAGGACACTGTAAAATGAAGTGTTACCAAATATGTTAACAATTTTAAAATTGTTTTCACTGTCAGTATCCAGATATATAATTAATTAATTTTTTTTGTTTTGTTTTATTTTGGGGTGAAACATGACTTTTTTGCCAGCTTGACCCTCTGATTTTTATAATAAAAAAAATTGAGTTTCATAATATCATCTTCTGTAAATGCATTACCACGTGACCGCTTGTTACTTTTGTAACAGATACAGAGAAAGACAGCAGAAACAAAAACCCAGACTCAATAACCACAACACAAGTGCTTACTTTCAAACACTTTCATTATTTCTCCATATAACTCATAAAGAAACAGACCCCCAGGAAAAGTAAAGAACTGAATGATAGAGGAAGAGAAAGAGAGAGATAAAAGAACTGGGCATGCTTGGGCATGCTATAGGCGCATAGGGTGACGGATACATCCAGGCCAAACGGTACAAGAGCCGGCGGTACGGGTCAACAGCAGCAACTCCCTGCTTCAAAGACCCTTTGGAATCCCACCATCCCCGTCACATACAGCCGTTGTGGTTTCAAAGTGAGCCAGTCAGCGATTCGCAAACTTCCTGGACCAACCCAAGCACTCGAGGTGAGCAAATGCACATACATTTGGGCCCCCAGCTTGCGTTCCTTTACATCAGCATAGTTGTCATTTGTACATTTCACTTTTTTGACCTTTACTATTCTTTTTTTTTACCGGCTGGATAGAGAAACGGAGAAATATGGGGAAGGAAGGGCGAGAAAGAGGGATAGAGAAAGAGTACACAAACTGTGAGTGAATCATTGCCAGGAGGACGGACTCAAGGGGGAGAGTACAAGCCCATACACACATGCTATAAAAACATCTCAGTCTTTACGTTCTGTTAGCTGGCTATAAAAAAATAAACAAAACACCTCTCTTTGATTGTTTTTGTTTCATCTCTGATTTTGGGGCGGAAAGGCCTCTGGATGCCGGGACCAGCACTTGGACCTCGAGTTCATCATTGGCATGCCCGATCAGACCTGTTCCATTGTGTATCATACCGTTGGCCAATAAGGTGAAAGATTTCAACACTCTTATGACAGTTTGTTGGACAATTGGTGCTAATCTCATTCGTACGTTTTGAAATTCACCCAAAAACGAAAATTCTGTCATCATTCCAAACCTGTGTGCATTTCTTTGTTCTGCGAAGAATGTCGGTAGCCAAACAGTTGATGTGCCCCATTGACTTCCATAGTATTTTTTTTTTCATACTATGGAAGTCAGTGGTGCCCCACAACTGATTGGTTACAAACATTCTTCAAAATATGTTCTTTTGTGTTCAGCAGAAGAAATGAATTCATACAGGTTTGGAACGACATGAGAGTGAGTAAATGATGACATAATAATACATTTTGGGTGACCTATCCCTTTAAGTGTTTGTTTTGGGGGTCGACCTTTATGGTGAAGTTTTACCAAAAAAATCATAAATTTTCTTACGAATGAGGTCATATGAATTCATACAAAATCGCCAATTCATACAATACTCACGAATTTATGAACATTTTGATGCAAGTCCGAATGAAATCTGTTTTTACACCGTGTCCAAAACTGCTATCACACTTTTCCGTATGTTGTTTCCCCCCGATAAGGTTATCTATACAAAACTAAAACATACATTAGCATGCAACTTTGTTTTTTTTCTTTTACTTTTAGAAAAACAAGGCAGTCGGCATTTTTCAGACGTCTTGCAAATAGCTAAAAAAGTTTTTTTTTTTTTTTTTTATCAATAAATATTTAGTTTTTTTGAAAGCAGCAGTTGGGAAAAAAACGTTAACAGTCTCTTGAATGTCTGGTCGGGAACACCAGGATCTCGCGCAGCATGGCTTTCAGGTGTGCATGGTGAGGTTGGCAGGTGCTCGCACGTTCTCATGATTTCATCAAAGAGAGTGTAGGAGGGGTAGAGGTTTATAATGATGACCTCACAGAATGTCATGTGCTAGCCCTCATACAACATTCGAACAATGTTTAAATAACATATAATTCTGCGAAAAAAAGATCAAACTTAGGAAAGTGCTTCCGAAGATCAAACCCATGCTACGTTTTGTTGAATGTACAGTGTATAATCTAACATGCAGGACCTGTTTATGAAAAGATAAATGAGTCGAACTATGTTATGATTTATTTTGCTGAAATTTGGAGCAAGATTAATGACAAAGCCCTTTCAGATCGTAGAACTTTTGCATCTGGGAAGTTTTCCAAATGCATATGGGTCAGTTTCGCCCGAGTGCAAATGTTGCAAATGCAGAAACTCTGGTTGCACTGTGTCTCAGTGGTTATCAGACTTGAACTTTTACTAACCCACTTTGGAGTGGTTGTGCTTGTTTAGCCGATTTCTTTTTGACATCTGCAACATATTTAGGCAAATTTACAGGTGTTAAGACCTTTAAAAAGCTTTATAGCTTCAGTTTAGGTCCATTATCATTAAAAAGTGTCTTTAATTCTCATTTCAGGCCCACCATGACATTCTGGGGTCCACTGGTATTTGACGTACCACACAGAAGGAAAATGGAGGTGTACAGGAAATGAGAGGAGCGCTTGGCATGTTATTCCGATGAGTGACAAAAACAAAGACATGGAAAAACATAAGCAATGCTTAGGAGTGGTGCGCGAGGGAGGCGGGTGGTGTTAGACAGGGGTCGTTTCCCATCACTTTGAACCTGTTGACATCATAGCTGTGTAACGCTGCCATCACCCGAAAAGATGTTGATGGTGGTCTCCCTTCACCCTTACGCCACCTTGCACACCCTCCCTCACCAAAGCCACCGTTCAAATGAGTCCAACACCCAAATACAAACCAAAAACCAAATGAAAACCGAGAAAAGCCACCAGCATTGTCAAGAAAAAGGCAAGTAAGAATATGAAATAAAAAAGAGAAACAAGTATATCAATTTATATCAGCATTAATGAGTGAGTGAATACATAGGATAAAACTAGAAGTTCAAAAGGATGCTTGTAACTATTTCAGATAAAAAAAAAAAAAGGAAATTAAGAAATCAAAACGAGCTCTTTGGAGACAGAAAAGCAGACAGAACCGCTGAGCCCAGTTTTGTGTTGTCGCCTTCCTCAGTCCTCATAGTGACATGCTGTAACTTCGATAGAAGTACATTGGTCGTTTGTTTTAAAAAAACGGGCCGGGACCAGATCAGTCGTGATGATACTAGTATTGATTTGATAATAGTGTAGCTGGACAAGAGGAATTGATAGGCAATGCAGAGTTTAAATAAAAAAATGGACAAACAAAATGGCGACTCCAATGTTGAGCAAAATCACCATGACTACCAGAATAGAGTTGGAGCCCTGTTGAGTGAGAAAGAGAAAAAGAGAAAGGTCAGTATTTGTTTATACAGTGTGGATTTCACTAAAAACTAATAGTGTTTATTGGCATGCTGTCTAACTTGATTCACTAAAAGAATAATGAGAATCGGGTAACAGTGCAAACACGCTCAAAAATCTGTGCTAAACAATTTGCGATTTCATTACAGCCGAACGCATAGCTTTTCAAAGTATCACAAAGTAAACGCATTAAGTAAATCGCTTGAAACATGCCCACTTGAAAGTTTCAACCTTGTCCAGTGTCTGCGCTATTTCTCTCCAGAAGTTATGACTGATACAAATTGCTTTGTACTCTTTTAAACTACTTGCAGGTGTCTCTTAACCCCCTCACACAAGCGCTTGTAAATGCGGCTGTCTGTTGTTGTTGCTGTTTCCAGTAGTTTGTTGACATCGTTCCGTCTCTTCCTTTTCTTTTTCAACCTTGAAACAATAGGCTGGCACAATGTTAGCACCTTGTAGACAAACTAATTAGTGCAACAACAAAAAAATCAATGGGGTGGGGTGGTGCAAGCTGAGTTTACAGATTATGGGCTGATGTTGAAATTTACGTCACTCACAAACCATAGTGTATGCATAAAAATCTAAGTATATTTTGGGTTTTACCCTACACATAATCACAGCAAACCTTACAGATTTTTATGAACGTCTATAGTCAGATTTGTATGTACCAAAATTGCTTTGTTGTGGAGTTATGCAGCTGTCAGGTGCACTTTCCTGGGACAATACAGCATTGCATTACAACTAGTCTAGGCCCCTAAACAAGCTATTTAAAATGCCCAAAAGTGCACTTGACAACACTCTGTGTCTGGATATTAGTTGGTTTTAGCGCTCTTCTCAATCTTAGTTGGTTGTGGGAGTGCTGTGTTGGAAGCGTGTTTGACAACGACTGAAATACTCAAGCTGTTGCGTGAATATCGCATTGAAATTGCGCTGAAATATCACATGCTAAAGTTGTGCAACTGTTTAGTGAATTTCCTCCTCAGTGTATTAAGCAGTCAACATACTAGAGTCCTAGATTCACTTCAAAACACACTTGCACACTACAGTGCATATTTAAAGAAAGCCTGCATGATTATTCCATTCCCCTCGGCTCACCGGAGAGAGATACGGTATTATCTGAATGGAAATGAGAGTCTGTACTGCATTGTGCCAACCCTCGTAAGGACGAACGTATTTGCAAAGAGCTCCGTTTGTCAAGTACGCTTTTGTAATTAATGGGCTCATGTAAGCGTATCGTGGACAATGTTTACAACCGTTGAGCAGAGGGACACGCGCGCTGCACATGCAAGACACATGTGAGGCATGAAATTAGGCTGTGACAAGCGAACCGGACACAGTACTGTTAAGAAGATGCCGTGAGCGTTGATTTTGCACATTGAATTAGGACAATCATATCTTACACAGTCACATTTAGCGCATCTTCCTGTTGACAACCACATTTTGCTCTCTACAGTTGTTTTATTGTATGGTCAGACAGTTGTGCCCTGTTTAGGACCTGTTCTTCTTCCTGCTGTGCTAAGCTAACCAGTTGTTTAGATATCTCGGGAACGTATAAATGTTGTTAAAAGCATTGACAGTGTTTGTTAATTCCTGAAGTAGGGCTAGCTATTGTGCCGATGTGTTTCTGTTACATGTTAACCTGTCTTACACAAGTCTGCTGCATTGCTTGCCTCTCTGCAGCTACAAACATAAACCCCCTCCTTACTAGAACTCAGTCTTGTCATTTGATTGGCCACAACCCGAGCAAGGCATAAGCTGTTCCCTAGCAACAGAGTGTGGGACAGCCAATGCGGGGCTGCGTTGTGGAAGGAGCCACTTTGCCAATTTGCTGTTACCAAGGTGTTCTTAGTGCAGCAAGAGATCGTAGGGCCGCTAGGCAGTGGAAGGGGACAGTTTGAAGTTTGGATATGTGTGCAGGTTATGTGTCTTGGGCTGTTGTCGGCTCCTATGTTCCATTGGAACTCTGAACGCCTACACTATGTTTGCGGAGGTTATTCTTCCTACCCATGCGTTCTCAGGCACCGGTGCATACTAAAACATCTGGTGCGGTTCCATTTGATTAGAAATGTATTCAATCTGTTTTAAAATAGTATAATTACATTTTATGATTCAATATTCAAGTCTTTTATTGGACAATTTATTCGACAAATATTAAGATTCTGTTGTCATTTACTCACCCTCAAAACCCATATGATTTTCTTTCTTCCATGAAATACAAAAAAGAGACATTCTGAAGACTGTACTTGTCACTTTTGTCCTTGCAAATACAATGAATGGATTCAAAAACACCATAAAATTGTCACGTCCAATCTTGCTCCTGGAGGGCCACAATCCTGCAGAGCTTATGCGTTTTGGTCGATCGGCTCACAAGTAGACGAGGGAGACACATTCCCGTTTACACCTGGTGTTTTAATCAGTCTCTTTTGTCCATTTTTGACCCCTTCTGTCCTGATTTCTTCATATTTAGCGTCGTCCACTTGAGATCGGATTGACAAAAATGCTTCTTAATATCAGATGTAAACATGGCCAGACTGTATCTATTTATTAGATACAGTCATAATAAAGCACACCTGAACTAATCAAGCTCTTAAGAGTTACTAGAAATGTCCAGGAAAGTGAGTTGAGCCAGGTTGAAACTAAACACTGCAGGAAATTAGCCCTTCAGGAGCAGGATTGGATACCCCTGCCATACGATTCCGTCATCTGTTTCTCACTCAGAGCTCACAAGGGCCACTTTTACCATACTTTTATGGTGTTTACCATCCTTTTTGAAGCTTTAAAGCTTCTGCTTGAATCTTTTACAATTTCTCTTTTTGTGTTGCACAGAAGAAAGTCAAACAGATTTGGACCGACTTGAGGGTGAGTAGATGATACCAGAACTTTTAATTTTGGTTAAACTACTCCTTAAAGTCACTCTCCCTGTGTTCAGTGTAGTGCATCTTCACTTACCGAGTTCACTTTGAGCTGAGACTGATTCTCATCTTCGTGCTGTAGTGCAATAGGTGGGGATTTCTGTGGGGGTGAGAGTGTGAGGTCCCTGCGGAGGGGCCGTGCCTCTAACTTTTCCCCCACTCGTAGACTGTCCAACTTTTGCACTGACTCTGGAGCCGGCCCCTCCCGGGCATCCCTGGGCCCTGAGGCATCCCGAACGTCCCGCTCCCGGTCGCGATTTTTACCACGTCGCTGTAGTGTATGTGCTCGGGACTCCGAGTGACCAGGCCTCTCCTCCCCGTGCCCATAGGGCTTCTGGGAGTTATGGGAGTCCATTGGCTGTAACGGCCTCATCTCCATTTCATAATTGCTCAGTTTTTCCTCGTCCTGCTCTAGGAGACGGGAGTGAGCCAAACTGTCCCCATGTACCCGCTGAGACGTCCAGGAAGCAGAGGGTCCTTCCGGCCTCCTTTCCCGTTGCGTTTTGTGATTGGAGGAGCTATGGTCTCGAGGCTTATGATTGGAGGCGTGCTTGTGGCCGTTGGCCCGTGCCGCCCCAACCCGCACCTCGTCCTGTACAGAAGGGGTTGTAGAACGGCTGCTGCCACGACTACCGCCTCTACTACTGCCCCCACGAGAGACACGCTTGTCCTCACTCCAGCTGTTAGCCCTCAGGTACTCTCCACCTCCACCCGAACCACCACCACCTCTCCCCTCCATCAGCACCTGGATCTCTTGCGTTCCCCCGCGCTCCTCGTCCACTGCTGTCTGTCGCAGGAAGCGGGCATTTTTGGTGCGGTGGGAAGATTTGGTGGTCGGGCTTCGGGGAGGTGTGGAGGGCCGGCTGGGAGTAGGGCTCACGTCTGGGGTCAGGTCTGGAGGTGTGGAGCCCTTCATATAGAGCTCAGTGCTGTCCGCAGTCCCACTGGAGATCACTTCCACATCGTTCTCACTCGAGTTCTGCTGTTTGGGTCGCTGGCACTCCACTCCTACACGAAGACATAGAGACAAGTCTAAGTTTTAATTTTAAAACATGTAGTCGTGCCACATGCTTGAAATGTACTGAAAAGGGGGTGTATATAGAAGCATGCTCTTAAAGAATCTTCCATCTGTCTTAATCAAATTGATAAATAAAGGTGTACCAAATTGGTTTGTACAGACCTGAATCAAATTCTTATTTGTCTCCAAATAATTTCAGAATTTCAAGACTCACGCATTAAGTCTTCTGTTGTCGTTATTAAATTAAAATCTGAAGTCTGTAATCATTTGGGTTCACATTCAAAATCAAAAATGGAGCATTGCTTTCTAAAGCTTATTTAAAGTAAATATTTTAAAAAGCTAATAATTTAATAACATTGTTAAATGTAATGATTATTCATTTTTCATACTGTACATTATAATGTTGTGATGCCTAAATTCACTTTCAGGGATTCAAAAGGATTCTTATGAGTTTGTAGTATTGTATTTAGACAAATGGTTAGAATGGTGTATTAATCAGTTAACGGTTATGAGACATGAAAACAACTATCATCTTATTATATCAGCCAGAATTTTAATATTGGTGCATCCCTTATGATTCTT